TGGCGTAGTTTCATTAGAAATGCTAGCTATTTTTTTTTGTGTAGTTTAAAGCTAGTCAATAATAAAGGAGGAGTTGGGGATTTGTCCCATCACCTTATTTCTCATTTTGATTTACTTTTATCTTACCTTTTTATTATTATTAAACTTATGGCTATGTGTCTTATGACAGAAGCCGGAGATGTAATCCATTTTCATTATTAATAAAAAAGCTAGGGTCATGTTGAAAAACTCTACTGAGAAATCAATCCCATCGCGACATGACAAAAGGCAATTTTTAGGTGCAACAGTAAATGAAGAAAAAAAAAAGAAATTTTCACACAATTATCCATCTATATCTATAACTAATATAAATATTCGTATTTTTCCGGTCGTCACATCTAATTTTCGTCTGTTTTTCGTCCATACACAATCCGATTCGGTTAGCAATAGCTAAGGAAAAAAATTGCAAAAAAAGAAAAAGAATCGGCGGCCGCCGACGCCACCGCCGCCGCCGGAGGGAGAAGAGAGGCGGCGGCGGAGGGAGCGCCGATGCCGGACCCGCCCGCGGTGGCCACCACCGCCAACGGATCCACCCTCGGACGAAGCCGACGCCGTCGTCGCGGCCGTTGAGAAGGCGCCGTCGCCGTCGAGGCCAACGGGGAGAGGGAGTGGGGTCCATCCGCGGCCGCCGCCGGATCCATCGCCGTCGGATCTAGGTCGGGAGGGAGGCGAGAGGGGAGGAGGGAGCCGCCGCCGGCCCGCGGCCGCCACCACCGCCGACGGACCCACCCGCCGACGCCGCCGACACCGCCATCGCTGCCGGATCTGGGGCAGGAGGGAGGCGAGAGGGGAGAAGGAAGCCGCCGCCGCCGCCGCCCCCACCCTCGGATCTGCCGCGGCCGCCACCAACCCGCCGCAGCCGACCCGAGAGGGAGAGGAGGATGGGGGTGCCGCCGCCGTTGCTTCGAGAGAGGGGATCGGGGGCGCCGGTCGCTGCTCCGCGCCGCCGCAGCCGCTCGGGGGAAGGAGGGGGGGCGCCGCCGCCATCGTCGCTCGGGAGGGGAGGAGGGGCGGGGGGAGGGGGGAAATGAATCCTAGGGTTAGGGTTAGGGTTTGGGTGTATTTATTTAGGTTAGGATTAATCTGGACCGTCCATTCAATCGGACGGCTCCAGCTGCTCCCACGTCGGGCCGCCGGCCTATTGGGCCACCGAATGGAGGACGTAAAATGGACTTCAATGGAGATGAAAACAGGCCAGACACATAGAATAAAAGGGAGGGAATATAACATTTTCTATATTCGGCCCAATCATAGAAAGGAGGATTTTGATTTTTTTTCCAATTAAATAATTGTTAAATGCTTTTTTATTATTAAAAATTAGCAATTAAGCTCTGATAATTACAATAAAATTCCAAAGAGTGTAACTAATCATGGAAAATTTAATAAAATTAAATTTAACCATGTTATTTTATTTTTCACACTTGCTTTACTTGTAAATTGATTTTTATACACCTACCTATTTAAAAATACCAAATATTTTAATTAATTACATAATGTAAAGTTTTCTTAACTTTTTCTCAATTTTTTTTTCTGTACACTTCCTGTTGCAACGTACGGGCACCTTTGCTTATTTTAATTAATTACATAATGTAAATTTTTCTTAACTTTTTTCTCAATTTTTTTTGTTCTGTACACTTCCCGTTGCAACGCACGGGCACCTTTGCTAGTATATATATATATATATATGCTCTAATTGGGCACTTTTTAGGAACGTTAACATCCCTCCATTGTTTGATTGAATGTATTATCATGACCGTAGATCCTCTTGAGGGTCCATGTTAAATAAATCATGCCACACTTTACGCCCAAGAAAGATCATGCCATTGAAAATGATATGGACTCTTATTTAATAAATCAGAAATTAGTAATTAATAATAAATATGGTGGCAAAAATATCAAGCTTAGACTGTCAGTTTAGTATTTTATTAATCTATTTTTAAAATTCGAAATTAATAATTAGCTAGTTGTAACTGACGTGGACTCTCTTTTAACATAAGCAACTACACTTTCAAAGGAAACCAACACGTTAAATATAATATTAGAGCTTTAATATTTATAGTGTCAATATTCATTAAGAAGGGGTGAAACGATGATATGTTCGCACGTTATCCGTAGGACCTCTCAAAGAAAGAAATTGAAGGATATATGAAACGTTTGACCATTCGTCCTAGTTAAATTTTTCGTGCAAATATAAAAATATTTATATCATGCTTAAAAATATTTGATGATAAATCAAGTCATATTAATTATATAAATTTTTTTAATAAGATAAATGGTCAAACGTTTAGTAAAAAAGTTAACGGTGTTATACATTAAAATACGGAGGGAGTATTAGGTAGAGTTGTCGTTTTTGCTACGGTATGTTTCAGGTGTTAGGGCACCAACGTTGCACCAACATTATTTTCAATAGGTCCCATAATCAGGGTAGTTAGTAAGTTTGTGCCAAATCCATTATGTGTTATGGATAGGGTGGTAAACAAGGCGAGGCACTATTGAAAATAAAATCCTCTAACTTCAGTCTCTCTAGTGAGTAGAAACACTACAAATAATATGCTTTATTTGCTTGTTGCTAGTAATAGCACAAAGATCCGCTTTTTGTTATTACCTCTTCCCACGATGCTTATTACCTAATAGCAACGGTGTATTTATTGCTTGTTACCGGGTTTTCTATTACGGGTGTGTTTAGTTATTTGGTTGTAAAGTTTTTGATGTATACGGATACACATTTGAAGTATTAAACGTAGACTAATAATAAAACAAATTACAGATTACGCCTGTAAACTACGAGACGAATTTATTAAGCCTAATTAATCCGTCATTAGTAAATATTTATTGTAGTATCACATTGTTAAATTATAGTGTAATTAGGCTCAAAAAATTCATCTCGTAATTTACATGCAAACTATATAATTGGTTTTTTTTCCACATTTAATGCTCTATGCATGTGTCCAAACATTTGATGTAATTTTTGGCCAAAATTTTTTTAATCTAAACAATGCCTACATTGTAATTGCCCATAGATAGGCCCTGCACAAAAACCGAGTTATTTCACCCTGTTAGCTGAAATGCAGTGATCCTGCCACTTGGTCTTGATGAAACAAACAAGAACAATAGTGAATGAACCCAGAAGATCGAGAATCATTAGAAGACAAAAATAAAAGGACCACCCATCATTTCTACGACCCAGCAGATTTGTCGGATTTTACATCATCTTGCAAGTTGCAGTTGGACCACTAACCGACTAACACAAGCAGTGTTTTCTGCACGATCTGCACCGATTTCCCCTTCCCTGAGCCAGCCAGTCACTGATAGATGACTCCCACTCTCCTATTGCTTCACACGTTAGTGTTTATAATGGTTATTAGTAATGATAGAGGATGTAAACCTTATTTCGTGCGAATTCTCGAACGAGCTCTACGCATTCACGGAGCACCACCGCCACCTCATCCGTGACAAGTGTTACTCTGGTGACTGGAAGCAGCAATTGAGCGTCAGATAAGTAGATGTGCCTGCTGTAAGAGAGAAACATTAGTAACATTGAACCACAAATTCCTTGATCAATAGTTTTCTGATCATATCTGAAGCTCTCCGTAGAAGCTTAAGCATATGCAACAGAATTGAGCTTTGTAACAATCAGCAACAACACAATGAAGAGGGATTCGATGAAAAGCTACGGTAGATTTGCGAGTGAACAATTCGCAGACTTAACTGCTGGTTTCAGTTTCTTCCAAAAGAAAAGAAACTGCAGTTTCTGCTAGGTACCTAGTTCTTCATCTCATAGCCAAACATGCATTAATCTTACCAAATATACAACCAAAGATTTTGAGAACTGAACATGTTGCCAAATGAAAAAACGCAATATATCAAAAGTCATGTGCAGTATTTCATAACTAATCCACTATGAACTTCAGATAACCAGCGCATTATTGCCTAATCGACCTTACTCAAAAGCTCTAATTAGATCATTATATCTTGCCACCAAAACATAGTAGTACTAATTACTGATATGTTATTACGATATATAGTTTTACCATCAACAAGCTATTAGTACGAAAAACCTATATGCACATGGGATACCTGTCAAGAAGTGCATATCCACTAAATCTAAAACTTAACGTATAAAGATGCCACATCATCATCCACTAACAATTATTATATTTAAACATCGTGTAAACATGTTATTTTATCTATAATTTTATAATTTATTAAATTTTATAGCTTTTTAAATGCAAACATGTTAAGTCATCATCTTATATAATTCACATAATATTTCAATATGTCATTTTTCATCTTTTTTATAATATCTTATAAATCTTTATAGTTCATCCTAACTCCTAACTTAGTTAAAATATGCTCCTCTCTCTCTCCTCTTATTAAGTTACATCACTTCAATTGTTTTGTTCTTAGATGATTATCTATGGTTTAAATTATCTCCCTCTTTTATTCTCTTATTAAGTCATATCATTGATCCTTAGTTAAAATATGCTCCCCTCTCTCTCTCTCCTCTTATTAAGTTACATCACTTCAATTGTTTTGTTCTTAATTCTCTTATTAAGTCATATCATTGATCCTTAGTTAAAATATGCTCCCCTCTCTCTCTCTCCTCTTATTAAGTTACATCACTTCAATTGTTTTGTTCTTAGATGATTATCTATGGTTTAAATTATCTCCCTCTTTTATTCTCTTATTAAGTCATATCACTGATCCTTAGTTAAAATATGCTCCTCTCTCTCTCTCCTCTTATTAAGTTACATCACTTCAATTGTTTTGTTCTTAGATGATTATCTATGGTTTAAATTATCTCCCTCTTTTATTCTCTTATTAAGTCATATTACTGATCAATTGTTTTAGCCCTTCGATATTTAATCTACGGTCCAAACTATCTTCTTTCTTTTCTTTCTCTCGTAAAGTCATATCAGCTTACTTTTACATTTGAATCATCATTATACATACTATTTAAATTTAAATTATTATAAACCACATTAACTTTCTTAAGATTATATTATCTAGTATTCTAGCTATATATCTTACACATTATTTTTACTTAGTAAACTCCCGTAGTAACACGCAGGATTTCACCTAGTTCAATATATGCCACCAGAGGCCACGCTACCAAGTTACTACTAGATGTCACTAGAGCTAATTATCCATTTCACAACTACTAGCTAGTAATACTAATTAAGTATGACTTAATTACAATTAGAGATGATTAATTATTACTACTGCTACAGCATTGCCAACTTCTTAACATTGATAGGGTAGACTTTGTCCGGCGAGTTGGAGCCGTACGCCTTGCGTGCCAGCCTGGCATTCACCACGTCTGTCGGGTGGAGCCCATCGAAGAAGGCGTACTTGGTCCTGTCACTGCAGATGGCCCCCCCCTTCTGACACAGCACGCCTCCCCTCGACACCTCACAGCAAGCTCGACTCGTTTTCCTGATGCCTGAGCAATTATAAAAACCATCAAAGCAAATTAGGCACTTAATACAGCTAGCTTTGTTGCTTGCACGAGTGATGAGGAATGTTTGGATTGATGGACAAAAACACATGAATAATAATATTGTAGGAAAAAGAAATATATAGAAATATATGAATAATTAAAAAAACAACACTGAAAAATTAATATGGACGTGGTTTTGGAACATGAATTTTAGACTTGCTTAAAATAAAAAAGGTGTAATAGATTCTTTCAAGGAATTTTTTCCCTAGATTTGAGGACATTTTTTCCCTTGATTTGCACTAGAATAACAATAGAATAGATAATGTTAGGAAAGTTTTTTCAAGGGATTCTTGATCCATTCCTGCATTCCAAACAGCTATATAGCTAAAAAGACTATAATTTTAAATTCCTTTTGTTTTTCTTTAAAATTCCCCTACCAAATAGACCCTGGAAATATCACGAGAAAATAGTAGTGGTAGGAAAGGAAAAGGGGAGGGTGCATCATTTCACTCATAACTAATTTCTTTTGAGTTTCAGAAATATATGATCGCTTAATTATTACCATATTTTGCCGGGTGCTGTATTATATCGCTAATGATCTTGTAGGAATTGACGTAGACGAAGCTCGCGGCGGGCATGTGTGACCTCACGCCACCATTGTGATTTTTAACGATAGATCTTAGCCCAGAGTTGAAGAGGAGCGCCGCATGGTTCATCGGCTCAATGCAAGCATCACTGGTAGCGTTGAGGAAGGTCCTCACCACAGGGGTGCAACCCAGGGGTTGGATGGAGAATAGCACAAACTTCCTTGCCCCTAGATCATACAATCTCTGAAAAAAGTAAAAATAAGAGTCATAATTTAAATAAAACATGTACAAAAGATATTTATTGTATCTGTTGATTATTATGTGTAATCTCGAAGAATATAAAAGGGATGATATGGAGAAAAGAAAGACTACAGTACCAATCAATGTACTATCCATCCAACTACTATGTACTCTTGCAATATTATTATGTCATGTACCCTTCACATTCATTACTTCTCAGTCTGAGTTCAAGGTCCACATATATATAGCTGCCTGTACATTTTCTCCCCAGTTCCTTCTCTTTATTTCACATGTACCAGGAACTATACCACCATATCCAGTAGTTATAATTAATTAACATGCCATATCTGTGGCTTTAATAGCAAATCCATATGTTATGGGTACACAAAGATATACTCCTACTTAATTAAGGTGTGCATTAAATTAAGGTGGTACTACCTGCAGGTGGTTTGAGAGCTTGGTGAGGAGTGAGCTTGTGAACTCTGACAAGGGGGCCCTTGTGGGCCCACTACCAGCGTTGAAGTAGTTGAGCAAGTAGTCATTGCCACCTGTCCCAATGATAAACAGGCTCTTGGGCAGGTAACACTGGTCAAAGAAATCCTGGCCCTTCATCTTGTGTCCGGTGGTGGTGGTGGCTGTGGTTGCTCCCTGCAGGTGGGCCCGCAGGTCAGGGAGTGTCACTGCCTCAAAGTTGGTGATCTGCTGCTTTAGGCTCAAGACCTCTCCCTAATAAGATTAGTTACAGACACAAATTAGCAATTAAGCTGGCTAATTTTACATCTTAATTCTTTTGAAACACAAGAACCATACACTTTATTTCATTAAGAAAAAAAAGTACAACAGAGCAATTTATAAAAATGAAACCTATAAAAAACCCATCGCAAGCAATGCGTATAAATAAAACTCCTAACCATCCATCCAAGGGAAGCAATCTATTTTGATGCTTAGTTTATAAGTTGATTTGAGGTTTCTTTATGGCATTATGTTTCTAGTTGTGGCTTTCAAACTTTTAAGAATAGATTTATAGGGGATGTTTGGATTGGTTCCAATTTGTTTTGGTAGTTTCAAATAGTGTTTTGTTGGTATTTGGATTAAGACCAAATTTTTTACCTAGCTAGTAATATATCGCCCTACAAAATTTGACCGCGTCAAAATTTATCTAGATTTTAACACTACCAGTATTTTAGTAGGGTTTTAAACCAAATCAGCCCATAATAATTTTACCAAAAATATGTCTTGAACCTTTTTTTTCACAACTTCAGCCTTAGCTCAACCGAATAGAGCCTCACCCTCAAATAAACGCAAGCATCATTACAAGGAATGAAGAAGTATACTCCATCCATCCTAAAACATACGACGCCGTTAACTTTTTACATATTGTTTGGCCATCTATTTATTCAAAAATTCAATATAAATTTGTAAAAATAGAAGTTAGATTATAGTTTTTTATAATAAAACAAGTAACAATAAAACAAACAATATTTATATTTTTAAAAAAAACAAAATGATTGATCAAACATTATAAAAAAGTCAGCGTCATCGTATATTTTTAGAACGAAGGGAATTACTATATAGGGACAATTGCTCATCAAGTAACGCAGACCTTGTTCTTGCCGGTGAGGTCGAGGATGCCGGAGCCGCCGGAGGCGAAGTTGACGCCGTGGAGGGCGGCGCGGCCGCGGGTGGCGGGGTCGGCGAAAGGCGGGAGGAGGCCGGCGGCGGGGAGGCGGAGGAGCTCCCCGAGGGCGTCGATGACGTTGCGGCCGTTGGAGAAGCGGCCGGTGGCGCCCAGCGGGAAGTCGACGCCGTAGGGCGCGTAGTCGGCGCGCACGGCGCCGGAGCCGTTCAGGTGGTTGTTGTTGCCGTTGTCCACCAGCGAGCTCCCGAACACGAACACCGCCCTCACCGCCGCCGCCCTTGCCGTTGCTCCGCCGCCGCCATGGACGACGAAGCTCGCAGCAGCAGCAGGTTTGCATTGGTGGCAATGGAGATGCAGCAGCAGGAGGAAGAGGAAGAGGTAGAGGTAGAGAGTTGCTCCGACGAGCTTGGCCATGGCCGGCAAGCTGATGAGCTAGATAATGTGGCTGCACAAGATCGATAGCATCTGCTACTTGTATAGCAGAAGGAGAGAATTGAATGCTACTAGCCGGTAGGTTTGGGCACTGCATGCACGTCGTGGTTTAGTAATTACAGTTTGGGGGAGAGAGAGAAGTTACTGCGTGCTGGTTTTTAGTATAGCAGCAATTTATGCGGGTGCAAGGTGCAATACTGCAATGCATGTACAGTGTCCTTCCCGCGAAGGAAGGATCTGGTGCACACAACGGCACATGCCATTTGCCCAACTGTAATTTGGCCTTGTTGAGTTCGCGAAAATAAATATTTTGGGTGTCACATCAAACGTTTGATCGGATGTCTGAAGGGGTTTTCGGATACAAATGAAAAAACTAATTCCATAACTCATATGAAAACCTCGAGATAAATTTATTAAGCCTAATTAATTCATTATTAGCACATATAGGTTACTGTAGCATTTATGGCTAATCATGGACTAATTAGGCTCAAAAGATTCGTCTTATAATTTTCATGCAAACGGTGCAATCAGTTTTTTATTGTATCTATATTTAATGCTCCATGCATGTGTCCAAATATTCGATGTGACGTTTTTTACGGGGAAAAAAATTTAAGAGCTAAACTAGGCCTTCTTCTATCCCCTCCTCCCACTTATAACTCGCAACAGCTGGTCTATATGCAAAAAGTAACCACCGAAAACAGTATTTTATCTTAAATCATATTTATAGTAGCTTATTTCTAGTTATATACATATCTGATGTGCTACGAGCTAGGTCTTTTTTTTAAAAAAAAAATCACATTGATATGTTCTAGGGCACATCTATATTGTATAAACAACATGTGCTCAAGGACGGAGAACAAGGAAATGTTCAAGACAGGCAGTAATTGCTTATACACTTTGTATCTTATTTTTTTCTATAATTTTTCATAGATATCTAACACAAATCAAGAAGACAAATTTAGGGCTCTGGACTTAAGCCCTAGTTGTTCTGTCTTATCTCGGCCATTGTGCATTTTGACCATTGAATATATCAAATCCATGCGTAAGATCTTTGGTGGTGTTCGATTCTAACGATCGAGTCAAGTTTGCAAAACAAGAAAACCATTTGTGTATAATTAATTAAGTTAAAATATATAAAATTTCAAAAATAAATTTATTTAATATTTTATAGTGACTTTTATATAAAAAGTTTTCGTACGAAACTCACTGTTTTACGTTTTACATGTTTAGAAAACATGTTAATAGAAATCAAGGTAGAAACAATATCTTAATCATAATCTTAAGGAAAATATGAATACATGAATGTAGAACTCAAATATTTGGAGATATGTTTCAGATTAGGGATGGCAACAGGGCGGGGTGGGTTGGGCTGGAATGCCCCTGCCCCCGACCCCCGACTTCACCCTCCTCCCCCGTCCCCGGCCTCGACCGTTGATGCAGGGCCAAATCAACCCCCGTCCCCGACCCCTCCGGGGCCCCGCAACCCGACCGGGCCCCCGCATTGGATAGCATCTCCATCCAATCAGAAAAAAAATACAAGACATTCATCAAATTAGCAAAAACAAAAATTGCACATAGTGGACACACCATCAAAAATAGAATGAATCGTCGGCATCGTGAATCGCTGGCTGCCGCCGCGCCTGTCCCCTCGCTGGGCGCCGCGCCCTTGCCGCAACCTCGCCGGCCGTTGCGCTCCTGCCGCAACCTCGCCGGCCACCGCGCCTTGCCGCACGACCGGGCCTATGCGCCACCCCGTGCGTCGTTTGCACTGCCGGAGGGAGAGGTGGAGGTGGACTCGGGAGGGAGAGGTAAAGGGGACGGGATGGGAGGCCAGAGGGGAGAGGAGAGGAGGGGAGGGAAGAGGGCGACCGACGACCGGCGAGATTCAGAGGTGCGCCATGCGCCCTGCATCGCGCCGCCGTCGTGCGCCCTGCGCAACGCCGCCGCCGTGCGTGATGTGGACGGGAGGGAGATGGGGATGGGGGAGACTAGGGAGAGGATAAGGTTAGGGTTTAGTAATTTTATTTATATATCTCCTTTTTTTTTGGGTTGGGCTGTTTTGGATCTTTTATGGGCTATATTTTGAGAGTTCATATACACTTCCCGGGGCCCCGCGAGTGAAATGTCTCCCCTGTCCCCTCCCCGCTCAAATGCGGGTCTCCGGCCCCGACTCCCCTGCGGGTCCAAAATCGCACCCGCCCCCGCCCCCGTAGGGGCGGGTCCCCGCAGGGGGAAATTGCTATCCCTATTTCAGATCAGTTATCAACTTGAACTTGGCACTGCGGCTGATATCGTGTTTCTGGCTTTTCTGTTTGTGTATGGGCAACTGGCCATCGCGCATTTGCACTGCTACTGTACTGAGCTGACCGTGCATGCATATGCGCTAGATCGATCAGTATCATGAGTGGGTTAAATTAATTAGGGTTACTGGCAGCTAGCTGCTGCTGGGCCAACGTTACAATCAGTTCCATAAAAGAAAAAAACTCAACTCAATCTGTTCTATAAAAAAAATTCTAAAGATTAATCGTCTAAATATAATTTAGACATAGAGGGAGCAGCTGGTAGCTCGATCGGTGACAGATGGTTTAATTCGCACATTGAATGAGAAAGTACTTGACCCAGAAGGAAGACGAAGGAATAGAAACGCTTTGTCCGCAGGTGTTCTCCCTTCATTGAAGTGTTTGTCTATGTGAAGTTCCCCTTCTCCTGGTCATAAGTTTTCAGTGCACACATGATACAGTGCAATGATGCTCTGGGCGCGTCTCATATGGTTTGAGAACATCTGACGTTACTGTTCACCCCGTGACTGACATATGGGCCCGCCACTCTCAGGCCCACATTTCAGCCATCAAGTTAGAGGGAAGTTACGTCAGAGGATCTCAATCCGTCTTATATACATATAGTAGCATTTATTTTACTGATACTGATAGAAGAGAATAAAGATAAATAAATATGAATAGTCTCTTTGTGGGTCTCATTGTGGAAAATTCTAATTGTTGTATTCTGATGTTTTCTGATCTATTAGATGGACCCTCTCATAGAGTATATATAGGAGTACAGAGACTTGGAGTATAATACAAGTAAGAGTAGATTTATCTCTAGGATTCTATCTCTAGTACTCTATCTTATCTATAGGATATATCTTATCTCTATATTTGTATTTGACTCTTATCCCTAACCGACATATCCATACTTCTAACACTCAGAGTAGTAGCTAGATCGAGCTCACAGTAAGCTATAAGCTCATAAAATCAACACATATAATATGTTAACTATCTCTTTCTCTCACTTTAAATATATTTATCTTCGAGTATATGTAGAGCTAGCTATTATATAAAGGCCAACACCTTTTATTTTTTTTATATCTCTCTTACATAAGCTTATATCTGCCTTATAGTCCAATATTATCCTTGCTCTTAGATCATCTCTATGTTTGACTTATCATCCATTGCTAAAATTTATATTTTAAAACCAAATTTTAGAGTTAACTTTGAGGGGTTTTTTTATTGTAAATTACTTTCAGCATTGAATTTTAAGCCATGAATAATACATATATAAAAATTTTACCTACAAATTATTTTAAAGTCAACACCAATAGTTACAAGATCCGCAAGCCCGTCCAGACGAAGAGGGGCAAGAAAGGTGGGAAGAAGGCAGCCGATAAGGTACAGTTCGAAGTTCTTGCGAAGAACCTCATCATGAGACTCGGACATTTGCATGATGTCGATCATCTTGTCATACTCCTTGTATGATGCATGCCTATACGAGTGCTCTGCATGGCACTACGGTGGAAGGTGGAGAGTGTCTTCTTGATCTTCTCTGTGTCCATGACAACTTTGCCACAGAGGGAGAGGTTGGTACAAATCCGGTGCAGTGTGGAGTTGTAGCCGGCAACGCTCTTGAAGTCTGTGAACCTCAGGCGAGCCCACTCCTGCTCTGCTTGGGGCAAGATGGTATACTTCAGCTTCTTGAATCGCTTCTTGAGTGAGGTCCAAAGAGCGAGTAGGCTCTTTAATGGCTCAATCCCATTTCCTCATTCTTGAGCATGGCGCATAGATGTTGTCATAGGAAGTGCAAGGCCTCATCGTTCTCGTCAGGGATAAGCGCACGATCTTGCAGTGTGCCCATCCAGATCGTCTGGCAAAGCTTCTTGGCCCTGAGGACACTCTGGACATTGGATGCCTAGGTTAGGTAGTTTTGGCTGTGCGGGGCTAGATAAGCGAACTCCTTGTTCGTGATTCCTGATATTCTGTTGCAAAGTGATAAAAAATTCAAAAGTAACTGCTAGTAACATGCTTGCAAATACGAATACAAATATTTTATTATTTTTTCCAATACTTCTATGTAGGAAATGCGAATTATTCAATTAAATAAATACAATAAAGAAATGCTAGAGTTCATACAAAATATATACAAAAGAAGCATAAAGTGAATATATTCATATAAATACTGAAAATAAAATTTTTAATATCAAGTAACAGTAATTAATGCCTCAAGTATGAAAAGACAAGTTCAAATTCTAAATTCGTAAGACACAATATGCTCAAAAACGAAATATAAGCGAAATTTGCAAAAACCAAGGGCCGTTTTCTAAGTTTCCATGCGGTGGACGGTTAGAAATGGAAGTTTCCGAAATTCTAGTATTGCGCAAGGAAACTCCATGCTGAGAGTTGTGGGTGTGATTTTCAAAAAAAAAAAAAATAATAATAAAAGGGCCTTTTGCAAAATTGCCAATTTCATTCCTTTCTCTCTTGCTCTTTCCTTTCCCCATTGACCTCCTCAGCGTGGCGCTGCGGCGAGGCGAGGCGCGGCGCTGGCACGGTGCCAAAAACCTCAATCGGCTAGTGCCGATGACTCCAAGTCCGCAATGGTGGTTTTCGTCGGAAGTCACATAAAAGGAACAAGGAGGATACAACAAGGAATTTATTTTTGAAACCCAGTATACAAGATGCAAAGTGGATTTTCGAGGTTTTGAAATTTAATGTACAAGATGTAATGACTTAATAAGACTCGGCCCATGCCGGTCCAGCCCGAAGCCCACCGTGCTCCTCCTTACAAAAGTCTATTTTGCCTCCCTCAT